CTTTGATCCACAATTTTTCTTTAATTTTCTGTAGAATTCAAGTCAGCTCGATCTGGTGGTTGATATGTTCTTGCTATGAAATTTTTAGCTGTTTTTGTGTGTGTGTGTGTGTTGGTAGGTTATCAGTGCTTGTAAATCGTCTCAAGTGATTGGTTTTCTCTTCTTGCTCGACCAAATCGCTTACGCCCACAACTTAATCGCGTTTCTGATCTCGTTACTAGACGCACTCATCGATACAACCAAGATTACTTAGCGTTCTTGGTTTCCAACAACAAAAAATTATGATCATTCTATTATACCTTTGATCATCGTGCTCATGACAGGAGGCAGGCTTACTCTCAGATTCCTTTACCAAAACCGCGAGACTTTTCTCTTAGTGTGTTGAGAAAGAATTTGAACGATATCGGTAACAGAGCTTTCGAAGATATATTTGTGAGAGCAGAGAGTTACAACAAGGAGACACTTTTGGCTTCAGAGAGAGAGAAAGTCATTGAGGAAATGATGAAAATCAGATTAGGTGTGCAACAAGAAACCGTTAACAGATTGAGTGTTCAACAAGAAAGGATTTCTACTACTCCTCCTCCTCCTGTTACAGAAGAAACAGGAAAGACCGCCTTAGAGACAGAAAAGGAGGACACGGATTGGAGGAGAAAAGGAAAAGGCGATCCCGGTTTTTCTGATTTTCCTTAAAGGATATCCAATTTTGGAAGAGCAAGTTAGGTTTTACTTCGAGAGGAAATTTGGGGAAGTGATAGAAGTGATACAGATGCAAGAAGTGAAAGAGGATGAGCAGCCGTTGTATGCGAAGATGGTGTTAAAGATGCAATGTGCATCCAAGATGAACTTACGCCTTGAGCAAGAGTGCAAGACCATCCTTGAGACCAGAATGGCTACGCCATTTTACACGTTGAGCAGCCGGCAACTTCCCTGACCGTCGATCCTCAACGAACAAAAAGGTATTGCCAAGGGCACTTCCATAATTATAATACCCGTGGCTGCGGTGGGTGCAGTATGTGCATGTTATATAAGCCCCTAGTACAAAAAAATTCTAGATCCGCCACTGGGTGGGTGCCACGACAAGAACGGTCAGTAATAGGCTTACGCCAAACAAAGACCCACCAAACTTCTTCATTTCTCTCGATCAAATATTAGTTTTAAGTTAACTTCTGTCTCCCAAGAAATGTTCTTTGTTCAGAATTGTGATGTGAGTTATGGTATATATATGTAGAGAGAGAAAGAGATTTTGTCAATATTTGTTTTTGCCAAATGTAGAGAATTAGAGATTGTGTCTCAGTTTGGTGAGAGAGAGGAATGTAGCGAATCAAATAAGTACAAATTTGTCTGAACAACCATTGTCAGTGTCTTTTTTTTTGTGTTCGTGTGTGTTTTGATGATAGTTGATGCCTTCACGAGTTAGAGCTTGTCACGTTGTACCTTGAATCTTTGGTGTACAGAGATCACCAATATTTGACTTACCACGTGTGCGGTGTGTCTCTTATTGGCCGTTTGAGAACGTGATGTTGACCATTTTTTGAGTAGAAATAGATGAATGTATCTTTTGTATTAAAATATGGAGGATTACTACACTAACCTTAGAAAGTATCTATATTATTTGTTTGGCACACTTTTATTTTTTTTACAAAACTAATTTAGCATACCCAAAACACCCTTTTTGCCTTTGTTAAAAAAAACCTAATTACGAAAATGTCATTACTTTTTTAATGCCACGTAGGCAGATTATAGCGCTGAAAATTTGATAAGTCTACCAGGCTTTGACGTTAGACTTATCAAATTTTGGTCAACGCAAAAATTTTGTCGGTAGAGTTATTAGGTCGATGGTAGATTTATTCGAGAGTTGGTAGAGTTTACAAATATTGGTAGACTTATCTTGGTAGAGTTTTGACGATGAGAGATAGATTTATTATGTTTCGGTAGATTTGTTGTTATGAATAGTAGACTTGTCAAAGGTGTTGGTAGACTTGTTAGATTTATTGACAATGAAGTAGATTTATTTTCTGAGTTGGTAGACTTATGTCCTTTGACAGTAAATTTATGTGTCAATACGTGATGGTAGATATATCTGTTTTATGGTAGATATATCTGTTTTATGGTAAAGTTATATCTTGTTGGTAGATTTTTCGCTTTTGTGGTAGAGATGTTTGTTTTGTGGTAGATTTAAATTCAAGTAACATTCATTCCAGTGAGTGGTAGATTATTTGTTACATGAGGTAGACTTACAGAATATTGGTAGATTTATTTGTTTTGTGGTAGATATGTTTGTTTTGTGGTAGATTTAAATCCAAGTAAAATTTATTCCGGTGAGTGGTAGATTATTTGTTACATGAGATAGACTTACAGAATATTGGTAGATATGTTTGTTTGTTTGGTAGAGTTTATGTAATCTGGTAGAGTTATCGTACGTATGGTAGATTTCTTATAATAATCATGTGGTAGATTAATTAAGTTTGGTATTTACAAAGATAACCTCGATCTGGTAGACATATGAGGTGCTTATGGTAGACTTGTATATATGGTAGAGTTATTTTTCACGCTTGAGGTAGATTTAGTTGTTAATGTTTGGCAGACATTTGACTTTATGGATTGAAATTACTTTTTTGTCCTAAAAGTATTGTCCTATCTACGAAAAAACCAGAGATGTGGTAGACTTGTTTTGAAGTGTCATATGTTAAACAAGTTTCGTACATATGGTAGACTTGTTCCATGGTTATATTTGAGTTGGTTTTGTTACCATTAACGTTTTCTTTGCATGAGTTTGCTAAGATTATGTCGATTAACTGTGATTCGATCACAGATGATTATTGGTATTTACGATATAGATGCCATAATCAATGGTCAAAAATTTCTAACATGAATATTTTTTCTAAGATATATATTTTCTCTAAGATAACTTTGCTTTTCATATTAACTTTGAACATATATGTCATATCTGTAATAACCATCTCTTAACTTATGATTTTTTTATTTTTATTTTTGCATATTTATTACATTTAACTCTATTTACATAAACTCTTACAACATCACAATGTCAAATGATTTTAGTCATGTGTTTTGATTAAAATTTTATACAGTTATGATATACATCATAGTGAAAGTAAAGAAATAAATTAAATTGAATAATAACATTACTAGCAAATATGGTAAAAATGTGAAAATGTCTGGGTCAATGTTTTACGACAAATATAATTTGAAAACAACAATATTATCATTTAAAATCTAATTATCATTTTTACAAATTCAAAATACAGATATACATCAATTTAATAATAAATCTACCATTATTTCAAAACAAATCTACCAAATGCAAATCTACAATTCATAGTAAAACATGTCGGATCGATGCTGGATATCCCATCAAAGATTTGTTCACTATGGCAAAACTCATAATCTGTCAGAAAAAAATAAACAAATACTGTCATTCATATATAAAATTCAAATATATACGACTGATAAATCTACCATAAATAACTAATAAATCTACCAAACACAAATCATTTTTCAAATAAGTTACCATTAAATGACTAATAAATCTACCAAACCACATCGTTTTACAAATAAGTCTATCATTAGATGACTAATAAATCTACCAAATGACATCGTTTTTACTCTAAAATAATTTTACCATCAAATAACTAATAAATCTACCAAACCATATTTCGTTTTCTAAATATCTACCATCAAATAACTAATAATTTACCAAACTATATATCGTTTTTCAAAAAAATCTACCATCACATATTATGAACTTTACAACAAAAAAATACAATAAATCTACCAAACTACTTATCGTTTTCCAAATATATCTACCAAACTTACCTGAAACAAAAAAAATTAGGGTTGCGGGTTTTACAGAAAAAAAACTTACGCCGCCGTCAACCTCCGGGACACCACCATTTCTTCGAAACAACATCTGTCCAGTGCAGTTGTGCGCGATGCGGCGAGAACGCCGCTTAAGAGTCGTGCCAATATTTCCGAGATCTCTAACACCAACAGTAAAACTCCTCTTCCGCCAAACAGAATGTAGAAAACGAAGGGAAAGAGGAAGACGAAGAAGAAAGAAGAAAAAATAAGAAAAATGAGGATATATGAGAAAAAAAAACAAATCTGAACAAGTTTCTGAACGGCGATTGAGGCAAGATCTGTGTGGATCTGTGAAACAAAAGGAAAGCTGTGAAGAGAAAGCTGCGAAAAAAGGGAGGCTGTCAAGTTATGAAGAAGAGCAGCTCCATGAGAGAAAAAAAAACGGCGCAGGAGAAAGAGAGAGAGAAGAAGATGAATTAGGGTTTTTTTTTAGTTTTTGGTTTTGTTTTTTTTTATTTTTGCTTTTTCATTTTAAAAAAATGTTTTTTTTTCGTCAAAAAAAATTTCGATTTTTTAAAATTTTTTTTCGAAATTAAAGGTTTTTCGAAAAAAAATTTTTTATAAAAAACATAATGGCATTTTCGTAATAATATTCAACATCTGGATAAAATGGACTTAAACCAACTTTATAAGGTTAGTCTAGTAAGCCCTTCAATATGTTAGGTTAGGTTTGTCATTTCATTAACTTTAAAGATTAATCTGAGGAATTTTCACATTAAAATAAAATAAATATGTGTTAAGGATAATATTTGGTTGTTTTTTGTTAAGGTGTCAACGGACAAGTTTCCATTCGTGGTATTCACATCTTGCATTCTTTTTTTTTGTCTTTTCAATTGATTTATATGCTCAAATTCTATATTATTTTTTTTATAATTTATTTAACATGTGTGAACTCGGATGTGCGATTAGACCGAACCGAACTTCAATAATATTTGATGCCTCATTTGATTAGCGCCAATTAAAACGTAGCAGATTTTTCATTTAAAAGAACATCGATCACTCAACGGATTTTTTTTTTGTTTATATGAGGTTAAAGCGAAGTAACCAAAGCAACAAATTAAAGTAGCTATAATTTATTCAATACAAACAAATATAATTCAGAAGTTCACGCTAGGTCTTGATCATTCATCATTGCTCACTGCCGCTTCGCTCATCTTTTTCAGTTTATCCATCCTTTCTTGCAGTGACTCCAGGCTCCATAAATCCATCATATCTTCCAAATTACAAAAATTTCCTTTTAGGCTCCTGAATACCAAGGTGTTCAAGCAACGAAGAGAACACTGATCACAAAATGGCCGAAAGTTACCATCATTTCGGACAATTTCAACCTCATTATCATATATTTTGATGATATGGTTAGGCTTCATGTACATGTCTATTCCCAATAAACATGTAACATGAACTGTGACATTGCAATATTCATCGCATGTATAGAACCACTCCGTTGGATCTAATTTTGTTTCACAAACTTCACACCAATACTTGAGTTTTGTTGTCTTCTCTTCTTCTTCTTCTTCTTCTTCTTCGCCGTAACATAGTCTAAGTAGATGTTTATCGTGCTTGTAATAAGCGACCGATGGCAAAGTAGCACAACGAAGGCCCAAAAAGGACTTGCACTGAATACATTCCAAGGAATACGGTGAACAGTTGTAAGACTTGCAACCCATGCATCTACCTTTGGTTAGATTGAAGAAAAGATCATGTGGATGACTGCCATGGACTAAAGGATCAGGAAGGGAAGCACACCTTGTATCTAATTGAAACTCACAATTCTTTTCGCTACATCGGTATATGAAACCGCAACTTTCTCGGTGACAACCACTGCATTTGACCATTCCTTTGGCAAATTCTCCAAACCAAAGGTCATAGCGCTTGGGAGGGAATGGATGAAGGAGGGTAAGTGGGTGTTTGTGTATTGGATGGTGTTTTTTGCGAGGAAGACATGCACATACTTCGTGGAGAGTGAAATCACACTCCATGCAACTATAGTAATTGTCAGAAGCCGTGATCGGAAGGATGCAAGCCTGACAAAACTTATTTTCACGATCACTAGGGTTACACATCCCTTGGATCTTTAGAAAATGCTCATGACTGAAATGATGGATCGTGTATTCATCAATCTTCGTGAATGGCTCGGTATCTTCATCAGGGTCTTCGGGCACTCCTTCAAGATCTTTTCCATCCCAGACATCATCCCTCGTTGCACATTTTGAGTGGAACGCATGAGGACACCCCTTAATGCAAGAGTATTGTCCGTAATTGACGTCGACTGTTTGGCGACAAACTCCACAAGGAAAACCACCCGAAGGAAGGGCAGGAGTGAAAGAAAGCCGATGAGGGTGACGGGTGATCTTAATAACACGGGGTAAGTAGAGGCATTTTCTATGGACCATGTGGTTACATGGGAGACAAGTGTACACGTGATCTGCGGTGTCTTCGAGAGACAAACCACAAGCATCACATGGTAAAGAGAGTCTTCTAGGAAAGAGGGTGAGGGTGTGCTCGTGGCTCTTCTTGTGCAAGATAGTAGAGGGTGGCGAATTTATCGTACAAGAAGCATCAAGATTGAACTTACAGGTAGAACAATGATAGTATAACTTACCAAGAAGTCTTAGACAACATTTGCATTTCAGAAAACTCCCACCAGAGACATAGAAATGAGTAGCACCAGCAGCTTTGGATGTTTCTGAATCATCGGATTCGTGGTTTGGTGAGGAGATGAAGGTGAGTTGGTGGGAGGGGTGAAAAGGGTGAATGATCTCCGGCTGAAACTTATGACAATCCTTGTGAAATTCCACATTGCATGTAGCACAATAGAAATAAAGCCCACGACTGCCATTCAAGTTCTGGCCTTTGCACGCAAAGCAGACCGAGAGTGGAGGATCGTATGGTCGACAAAGGATGTGAGGGTGAGCAGGATCAGACATACAACATGTGGGTGGAGAACGAAGGGGTAAGCAAGAATACTTAAGTACTTTTTCCATTGATTTCATAGAAAGAATGAAGCAAGTTAATGAGATAGTAAATGATAACGTTTCAGATCTTGAAACTTCAATCTTTCTTATGCTCCGAGTTTCAATTTTTTTTGTATCAACAGACAAGAGATAAGCCAACTCCTTCATATCAAAGTCCACTCCTTTTAAGTCTTTTTAAAAGTTAAGCCAACTACTCTTTAGCTGGAGTGCTCTCTTCTATAAGAAATAATTTAAGTTTGGTCACTAACAGCTAGCCCAAAAAATGTTTTAAAAGATTTGTAATATAAAACTAGCTAATGTGTCTGCACCATGTGCGAGATACAAATGCTTAATAAATAGAATGTTAAAATTCAAAAAATAATTTATTTATTATATATTTATAATATGTTATCGTTTTTAATTTATTTCTACTAAATTAGAAATCTGAATAAATTTTTTAAAAAAAAATATTAAAATCAATAATTACTCACAATTTATATATGTAATCTATCGATAAAGTCTAATTCGAGTGAGCCATTTAATAATGCAATTCCCATCATATCCATTACATGCAATCTCATTGACACTTTCAAAGACAAACGAATTAATTGATATGATCTTTATAAAATTTCCTTCATCATAACCCTCAGACTCCACACACATATTTTGCAGATCGATTGTGATTCTTTGTTGTTTTAGAGGTTATGTTGGTAATTGTTTTAAAGAAACATGTAGAGAAAAAAAGAGGTAAAAACCATGACAGTGTTTTAATGTTGGTGTTTCAACATTAATTTTCATTGGCTCGGCTGAGTTGGAGGTTGATAGGATCAAAGATTCGTAGCATTGAATTTTTTCTCAAAACAAATATTGGCAGCATAAGCCAGTTATTATTTCTTAAATATATTATCAATGTTTTTTAATGTATAATTTTTTTATTGAATTTTTGTATAATACTCAATCCATAATTTTATCTACAGTTGGTCCTTATATAATAGTAACAAAAAAACAATTTATTTATTCTCTGTAATTTGTCGATTTTGTTTTTTTGCTATCATGTGGATCATACAATAAATAGAAATTATTAGAATCACTGAATTTTCATAGTTAAAAAGTATTGAACCCATAGCATATACAAAATGTAACTGAAATTGAAAATTTATGTAAAATTTAGATTTTTCATATATATGTTCTCGCCACAATAGATCAATAAATCACCATTTACTTTTATTACAAATCTGTGCAAAAATAATATTCACTATTAATCTTGTTTATTTTTTGGAATATTTATTAACATATAATATATACTTTTTCCAAGGTTGACAACCTTATCAATGCCATCAAATATGAACATGTAATATTTTATCCAAATTTAAGAAAACCCTTAAATGAAAGAATTATATTCAGTACAATCTCCATGAAAAAAAATCAAAGAGAAGCCCGTAAGAAAGATGTGATTGGTTCCTTATGTGTGCTTTAATGAAATTTAAAAACACTGAATCAAGTTTGCAATGAGCAGCATCAACATCGAACTGCCTTAGACCAAGTAGTTTCCTTATCAGTTTGATTCCATCATCATGCCGAATCCACACAAAAAAGCCACGAACCACCATATATATTAAATGAAACATGTGACTTGAGCCAAAAGGTAAAACGATTAAATTTTGTTACCCCTCAAGAGGCTTCTTCATCTTATGAAGTCCTGGTGTCTCTAATTCATTCTCTGTTATCTTCTCAAAGAGGATTGCATACTCTTTAATCGCACTACCTTCCACATAAGCGTCGTTTCCTACTTTTCCTCTCTAGAAGTACATATTCTGGACTCATAAAAAGACACTAAACTAAACCACTTTTTAACACAAAAAGCTTATCTTTAGAGACATGTAGATAGAGAGACACATACGCTGTAACACGAAGTATACATGATGAACACACGTTGATTAATACTCAGGTGTTTTCAGAAACTGCAGGAACATGAAGAAGAGAAAGCAGAGGAACACTCCTTAGTTAAAGGAAAAAGGAACCGAGATGTTTGAAGTGGAGGTGGTGTTCGTAGCGGAGGATTCAATGAGACCATTAGATGGTAGAGATGGCGGCGTTAACGATTAACTCCCATTATTGTAATTATGGTTGGCTCGATGAACATAGTGTGTTTTGGACTTATAGTAGGGTAAGGCCACTTACAAATTGTAATGAACATTCCATCAGTGGAGTATAGCTTCTCTCTGTAGCTTTTATTTCTTCTTCTTCTTTGAAAAATCTAACTTTAAAGAATTAATACGGCCTTCTGAGTTTGCAAAGCAAACTGTCCTTGAGATCAGGGCCATCACATCTTTGTTTCTCATCCTGTGATATCTTATCGCTTCCACTAACTTCTTTTCTTAGATGAAATTGAACTATCTTCTACACACAAAATGGTCAGTCAATCAGTAACTTTTAGGGTACAATATGACCTAAACATATAGATTAATGGTTTATAGAAGTTAGTATATAGTAGTAAAGGAAAAATCACGACTATGGAAACAGTAAATTATTCGTATCTCTAGATTTAGAGCTGGATTCTCGGTTAGACGCCTAAGTCTCAAGTAAAGCCAAGCTTACCTCACAACTAAAAAGAGAGCAAAAAATTGCAGCAAGTGTAGTAGAAGATTTATCGTAAAGCACAAACAAAATTATTGTAAAAAAAAAAATCAAATAATGATCACACAAGAAGCACCTTCTTTTCTATTTTAGTTTGGAAATCGGTCTCAATATCTTTACAACGATCAAAACCAAAATTTGTAACCCAAGGGGCACAATAAAAATCAAAATGATAACATAAATTTTTTTCATCATAAATAACATGAACCAAATCCATTTAATACTATAAGGAACAAACATAACAAAATTATAGTGATGAATTCCATCACCGATCTAATCCAGAATTGTGGATTCTTGGTCATACAGAGCAAAAGATTAGGTAAGAATACTTGACCTCAGTGAGTGAATTTGAGACCGGAAAGTGTATAGGTTCATAGAGACCGGTGTGTATAAGTTCATATGATATGCTAGATTCATATGATATTCACTTTTGAGTTCCCTAAGGTAATTTGGTGTTATATTTGGTGTTCAATTTGTTCCATATGATAGAGCTTAAGCATTCTATTTCTTCATTTTGTAAATAGCGAATGTTATTAGAGTTTGTTAGGTTTTCCTACATATCAGTTTTATTAAATTTAAAAAACGGTTTGATTGATAATGTAATAAAATATTAAACTAATATTTTTAAACCCGATTCGGATAATGATTCGGAAAATTTTTCAGGTTGTCGGGTCATTGGGTCAGCCTAGATCAATCCGAGTCAACCGCGAGTCAATTTTTCAGGTTGTCGGGTCATTTTAAATACATTTTTTCTGCTGTGTGTAAAAAAAAGAAGAGTTATTCTAAAAATTTATGTCACCGAATCAAATTAATTATCACATATCTTTTTTTGTATATTTTTGTTTTTTTTTCAATAAAATATACAGTAAGTATAGTGATCTTATTAATTATAATTTTTCATATCTATAATTATATTTTTTACTGTATATTTTTTCATTCAATTTATTTTCTTTTTATATTATTAAATTTTTATCAGAAAATTTTATATTATAAAACTTATTAGTGTGTAATGGTGAAAAAATAACAAATTATTCAATAAAATAAAAGAAAACAAACCATTATTACTATTAAATTTTTTTTTTGGGGTCAAATATAACAAACCATTATTACTATTATTACTATTAAATATTAAAACAAAAATATATATTAATTATTTCATAAAATCCAAAAAAAATAATGCAGAAAATCCTAGCCAATGTCTCTTGATATTGCTGCCACATCGTCTTCTTCATATTTTGTTAGTCTATGACTCTAAATTCTCTGCATCTTGTTTTAATTTGCTTTTCATAAACTGTTTTTTTTTTTGAGAAAAAGAATCTCATCGATGTAGTAGATTATTGATGGATAATCCTATTACGTTTTTTCCAAACCATAAACCGTCCGAATCGGTTTTTTGCCGGTTCACTAGATTTGAGCAAGTTTTTCTGGATTTGAGCGGTTTAATAAATCTTGAAATTTCAACAAAAACCAGACCAGAAATCTTGTCGGGTCGTGGTTCAACTGATCAAACCATCTGATCCGGTCCAGATCTGAAAAGATTGCATTAAATCATAATGATTTATAACAGTATGTTTTAAGTTAATTTTACACATCATCAAATAATAACCACTAAAAAATTATACTAAATTAAAAAATAGGATAAAAAAATCTTTTTGCAACTGAAACTCATCGTAGATCTAGCACGTAAGCAAAACATTTTGAAACTAGCTATGGAGCTGACACATCAGCAAATCACTATACATAAGTATCCCGGGTTTTCAACAAAAGCCAGACTGGAAACCTTGCCGGATCGCGGTTCAACTGATCAGACCATCTGATCCGGTCCGGATCTGAAAATATTGCATTAAACCATAATAATTTATAGCGATTGTTTTAAGTTAATTTTACACATCATCAAATACACCAATAAAAAATATGCTAAATAAAAAAATAGGATAAAAAGGTCTTTTTGCGTTGAAACTCATCGTAGAACTGACACATAAGCAAACTATTTTGAAACTTGCTGTGGAGCTGACACATCAGCAAATCACTACACTAATAAGTATATAGATAGATTCAGTCACCATTCATTATATATATCAGCAAATCACTACACAAATAAGTATATAGATAGATTCAGTCACAATTCATTATATATATATATATATATGAACTACACGAATCTCCGTGTTATGAGCAGGTAAAATGTTAATTAGTTGTTAAGATATCAAATAAATTAGAAAATATTTTCATCGTGAAATATCGTAACACCCGATTTCTAATATATGAAAAAGGTTATAAGAATTGATTTGGCTACCTATGTCATCAAAATGCACTTATCTTTTCGGGCACTGGTCTTGAGAGAACTCCAGACTTAAGCGTGCTTAAAGCTGGAACAATCTCAGGATGGGTGA